TGACCATCCCCCCTGGGGGGTGATTTCTCACTTTCTGTCTCTCTGTCTCTCTCTGTCTGTCTGGCAAGCGCATGCGCCCTATAGCAAAAAACCTCTAAAAAAAAAAAAAAAAAAAGAATAAGAGTCACTATTTCCACCTGATGGCTGTGTGATCTTAAGGAACTGACATAACCTCTCTGGACCTTGATGCCCTCTTCTACAACATGGAGAGGATGAAAGTGCCAACCTTGCTGTTGTGAGGATAAAATCGGTTAAAAGAAAAAAGCATTTAGAATAGGGTCTGGCACAAAGGAACCGTAGAATGATCCTTCTAAAGCACTGGTAAGGACAATGTGGCCCTCCATCTTTGGTCAAGTTCAAACTCACTGGGCTAGATCTAAGGCCCTGCCCAATCTGGCCCCCCACTAGGAAAAGACCTCCAAGATCCATTAAGGAAAGACACTGTTTTTTCTTTTTTAAGAGAAAGGCACAGTGATCATGGCAGATAGATTCGAAGATGGCCACCATGACCCTACCTTAATCATGTCCTGTAGAATCCCACCTTGAGTGTGGGTGAGATCTATGACTCGTTTCGAATGATAGGATACATAGGGACTGCATGTACATGACTGCATTACGTAAGACTGTAATGTCCAGCTGGCCGGCAACCCTCTCTGCCTTGGTGGCTTCCAAAAGCCACAAGGGGAGGAACTCAGGGTGGCCTCCAGTCAACACTCAGCAAGAAACAGAGCTCTAAGTCCAAAAGCCCACGAAGAACCGAACACTGCCAACATCACATGAACTCGGTCCTTCCCCAGTTGAGCCTCAGATGACATTACAGCCCCAGCTGACACCTGATTACAGCTTTTTAAGACTCCACAGCAGAGAACCCAGATAAACTATGCCCAGACTCCTGATCCACAGAGACCATGAGACAATAACCGTGTGTGGCTTAAAGCTGCTAGGTTTGTGGGAATATTATTACGCTTCAATGGAAGACTAACACGGTAACATGTGAACATGCACACGTGGTGAAAACTCCCTAAGAGGACACATAACTCCAGGCCTTACGTCTGCTCTAACCTCGCCTTCCTTTTCCTCTGTAGCAAGAGACAGGCAATCGTGGGAAGAGGAACTTAAGATTGAGGTTGGGAGAGAAACATACTTCTATTCTAAGTCCTTTGGTAGCATCTAAATTTAGACTTCATGTAAATATTACTTGTATAAAAAAAAACTTTAAAAAGTGAAAAAATTAAAAGCTGTGTTCATGACAAATTGTGAAGGCAACTGAACTACCCAAATCCTCTGCCAGTAACGCCTCTCCCTGCAGGATCCAGCCCTTGCAGCTCTCTCTTCCCCCTCAGGCCCCAGCAGCTTCCCAGCTTCTAGTAGGTCCATTTCTGCTTGTGGGTTAGGAGTGTGTTTGGGTAAGGGTCTGGTGCAAAAGGGCCAAAGGAAGTTTTCATAAATAGGCAAAGTCCCGACAGGCTGCTGAAGAAACCAGAAAGAGCTGAGTTCTCCTGTAACAGCAGAGCTAAGGGTGAGTGTGAGCTGGGGAGACGAGAGAGGAGAGAACACTCAATCCCTTTCAGTCTCTCTAAACATGAGTAAACAGAAAACAACCATGAGATTTATGTCACCCAAGGACTCTTACATCCTGGGAAGAAGTAGGGAATTGGGAAATGTTTAACAAAGAAACGAAGGCAAAACCAGAGCTTCTGAGGAACTACTTGTGCTTTGTTTGCTTGTTAAAAAGAAGGCCAGGTGTTTCGGAGATCACCTCAGAGAGAAATATTTAGGGCAGGAGAACTAGCACAGGCTCAAGAGGTCAAATCTCAGGTTCAAATCCCAGCCCTGCCCTTTCTAGCCCTGTGACCCTGAGAAACCCTCTTTACCTCTCCAAGCCTCAGTGTCTTCCCTTCTAAGCTGGAGAGACTGATATACCTCCCTTCCAGCAAGGCTTTTACAACTGGCAATAATCTGGGTCGTGCATGGCACATAGTAGGCCTACAAGAAATGGTAACGGCTCTTTG